AGGTAAAAAATAACTATGCGGGGCGGGGCGGGTTAAAAATTTTGTGGGTTTTGCCAAACCCGCCCCACACTCGCCCCGCCATCCCTATTTGCATTTTTTTCGTTTTGCAATAATACAAATATTTTTTTCTCCATGTGCAATTAAAAAGGTTTGTACATGTAATGTAAAATGTTGTTCTTATGTACTCTTGGTTAGAAGAGCGAACTGTTTCAAAACAACACTCTGAAAATTGCTCCCAACCTCTTCTATACTGGACGACATCTCATTGGATATGCCAGCAACAACCTCTGGAAGTTGAACTCCAATTTCAAAACCAAACTTATAGTTATGTCTGTGACAGTAAAACATGCTATGCATTGTTCTTTAAATACTCAGCTCATTAAGGAAACTGAAGAGAAATCTATAAGGAGAAAGAACGATAGCTCACTGTAGTAAATCAAAATAGAAGAGTACATCATTAATTAATTATTCGTAGATAATTAAAGGGGACAAAGTAAATAAAATATGTTATTTTCCTTATGAGAGGTGTTCCAATATAATGGTTTCTGTAATTCGTCATTTTAATCCTACAGTTAAACCCACAAACAGAAGATGTCTCATGTATAGATATTGCACAGGCTTTAGTCTACGAATTAATCAGATTAATCAGATAAAACAAAAGCTCAACCACTTTAGTCTTCAAACAAATTAATCAGACGTAAGCTACTCAGACTTCACACTTGTAATCAAACATTTTCCAGCACTATCCTTCAATTAAAGTTTTCTATATTGGAAAATACCAAAGGCATAACAAATCTTGACTGTAGTTGAACTAAGAAGGATGAATTAATCAATGCTTGCCAGAAAATATTTAATGCTGTAGAGTCAACGGAAACGTTATTTTTTCCTCCCGCCATTGAAAAGTGTAAACTAGATGTGTGTAGAACATGCTCAATTCTGCACAATTTGGATGCATATGCATCTCATTGTATATCTTTTAAAGCCAATTAGAAACCTAAATGGATGCCGCCATTATTGCCAAACATTCATGATAACTTATTAATTTGTCGAATTCTTTTTTTTTCCTCGTCATGTCTACTGCCAAATTTTTCTTCTTTGATTTTTCTCTGCTGTTATTTTTCCACTAATAGCATCATATGCACAAAATTTCTCCAAATTCCTTTTGTATATCCTCTACCTAAGTATAATTCACTTTAAGAGCTTCACAAAATAATAATATCACTGTTAAGTGTTCAAAAAATAACTTTTATTTTTGGCCTCTTTGGTACGTAAATGTACCTTAATTAACTTAGTCACTACGATTTTGAACTTATTAATCTCTAACTAAATTTTACTGCTTATTGTTTCTTTTATTTTACAGGTAATATTGAGTCATTTATGGTGTTCTTAGCCCCAATGTAAGTCCACTCTTCCTTTTTCTTTTTAAAGAATTTTCTGGATAAAAATATCATTAAAAAGAAATTAAATTGCTCCCTTATTTTTCTCTCTTTTTTCAATCCAACTTTTTACAAAATATACAGAAGGTTTCAAGCATACCTTGTGCTTAAAGGAGCAGCAAAGACAACAATGTTGACGATATCACAAATCCATCCAACTAATTCTACTCGTTTGGAGCCTTTTGCAAATAACATCACCGTTCTTAGGGCTCCCACATCCAAGAGCAACAACCACGCTGTTGTGACCTGTAAATGATTTCAAGAAGATGAATAAAAAGAAAGGAAAAAAGAAAAAAAGATATTGCCAATGGAAAGTAGTTAAATATTAGACATGCTTCTTCTGTTTACAGTATTAGCTAAATATCATTTGCACTATCAATGTATATAAGTTAAACCTTTTCCAAAATATTTTGCCAAAGTGAGCAGAAAGTTCTTCACTTCCATTGGCCGATCCTCCCCTCTGACCTTGTTATCTTCACTCACTTGACAATGACAACAATCTACCTCAGCTAGAGATATAATTTCAGCACCGTAACTAAGTGATTCCCTACAATAATAATAAGTGGCTCCAATAAATTGAAAAATAAAACTTCTTGCCCAATACCTTCAAGTTTCAAATTCATATCAACATTCTGTGTATCAGCCTATCAGGGTGAAGTGAATATCATAATTCTATTGAGATGAAAAAGATGCAAATGGCATGTTTGTGCATTGGTATATACTACTCATATTAATTATAAAATTATAATTTATAACTCGGGTACCTGCAATTAGCTTAAAATTTTGAAGTAATCCTAATAGTAGTAGCAGTAGTACTTAAAAGATTGAAACTTTGCAAGCACTATCAGGGTCAAAATACTGTATAAAAAATGTATGAACACAACTTATAGAGTCACCAATTTATTGGCAGCGGGGTATAACATTTAGATTGATTAATCATGCACTATTTAATACAAACAAAATACACAACATAGCTTTTATATTGTCCAACAAATTCCATGTTTCAAATAGACTGGATAAAAAATATCTTTTCTCTTAAAAAGGGAAGAACCTATCAGCAAGTTTTATCTGCTGTGCTACTGTCCTATTGTAACGACCCGACCGGTCATTTTGAGTATTTGCACTTCGCTCGCTAGTTATCGAGTATGACTAGCCCCGTATGATGTAATATGACTTATGTAAATCGTCGGTTTTGGTTTTCAGGTTAATCGAAATAGTTATGGAAGAATGATTCTCAACTCGAAGCTTTAAATTTGAAAGGTTTGACTTTTTAGTATTCGATCTTGGATTTGAATTTTTATAATTTGGTTAGCTCTATTAGGTAATTTTAGACTTGGGAGCGCGTCAGGAATGTGATTTGGAGATCCGTGGTGGAATTAGGCTTGAATTGGCGAAATTTGAAATTTGGCGATTTTCGGTCGGCAGTGGAAGATTTGATATTGGGGTTGGAATAGAAATTCGGAAGTTGGGGTAGGTTCGTGGTATCATTTGTGATGTGTGTGCAAAATTTGAGGTCATTCGGACGAGGTCTAATAGGTTTCGGCATCGTTTGCGGAATTCGGAAGTTTAGAAGTTCTTAGGCTTGAATCCGAGGGTGTTTTGGTGTTTTGATGTTGTTTTGAGTGTTCTGAAGGTTTGACTAAGTTCGTATGTTGATATATGACTTTTTGGTATTTTTGGTTGAGGTCCCGAGGGCCTCGGGATGAATTCGGATGGTTAACGTAGAGTTGGAAAGTGGAATAAGGCAGTTAAAATTGTTGCTTTTGATGTTTCCGCACCTACAGAGTGGGAACCGCAGGTGATGATCGCAGATGCGAAATCTTGGAGAGTTGCAGCAGGAGCCGCAGGTGCGGATAGTGGAGCGCACATGAGAGACCGCATGTGCGGTGTTGTGATTGCAGAAGCGGGTTCTGAGAGCATAAGTGGGAACCGCACCTGCGATGGATTTTTCGCAGGTGTGGCATCACAGAAGCGACATTATGACCGCAGATGCGGGGTAAAAAGTATAAATTTTGGACTTCACGAATTTTGGTTCATTTTCCACCATTTTTTGTCGGCTTTGGAGCTTTTGAGGGCGATTTTGAGGAGTAATTCAAGGGTTTATCAGTAAGGTAAGTGGCTTTAGCCCTAATACTCGTATATGTGATGATTTTCCATTGTTTAATCATGTAATTTATAAAGATTACGGGTGTCACACCTCCTTTTTGCGTGCCTCGCCCCGAGGGGTAAGATGCGCGGGTGGAGTTTTTCCAATTTAAGTGACAATATTAGAAATGAGATTATTTATTTAATTCAGAGTCGCC